GTTATGAAATGAAACTTATTGTATTTCACATCAGTAGAGTGGTAGAAAAAAGATAAAATGATTAAAAGAGTTTTCCCTTTCAGTTTGCCATTTTTCTGTTTGTTTATAGTATCCTTTGGAAACGTTTCTTTTTACAGAAAAACATTACAAAAAACCTTCCAGATTTTCCAAAACAGTTTAATCATCATAAAATCATGATATTTACGGATTAAACTGATTTTATTCCTGTTCATATATACCAATATATTCTTATATTTAGTTGCCGTGCCTGCAGCATTATGTTTTCATTATTTCATTTCTGAGCTTTTTCTGTTAAGATTGGAAAACTGGATAAAAAACGTTTGCAGAATGCATAATACCCAATTATAACAAATTTTCTTAAGTTAGTTTATCAGGAAAATGATAGCAAATTTTTAAGAAGCCATTTCCACAGCTTTTAAAATAGACATAAAAAAATGTATTTATGCATAATTAATGAAATGAGCAAACCTGTAATTGTGCAAAAAATAAAAAAAAACGCTGACTGTACTAAAAGCTGCTATTCTTTACCAATAATGATAATGATCTTTCTCCACAACTTAGCTAATTAAATGACTTGAAGACATTAATTAATTTCTAAGCTTTCTCTTTCTCAGGAAAAAAGGTTGCATTACACTATTACGTTTGTACAATCGAGTGCATGATACTCTATTATAATAAATTTATAGGTTGTTTTGTAAGGAAAATGACAGGTATTTTTATTAGTCATTTATCCACAGCTTTTATTCCAGTCACAGTGCAAAAAAAACAACTATATACATACTTAACCGATTATGAATAAAATGTGACTGTGTAAGTCATCAAAAAACAAGACCAATGTTGGAAGCTGCTATTCTTTACCAATGTTTTATGGTATTTTTTGTCTGCAATTGAAAGAAATGATTTAAACACAGCTCAAAGTCCTTTTACAGAAAAATTTTTTCTTGAATTCATTCCAGAAGAAAGATATGTGATGACGAGTCTGTAGCAGCATACCTATACTTTAAAGAATTAGACAGCATTTTACTCACCTCTTCTCAAATTCTTTTGGTGATTGTCTTTGAGAGATTCTAGCAAATTTCTTCTTTATTTTGCCAGACCCAAAAAACTTCTTTACTTCCTACTTTCTGACCAGAGGATGAACACTGAAGTAAAACAGAATCGAGTCCGGTATTTAAGAAACAATGCGTGGGTAGCACAAATTCTATCAACGAATAAGGCTTTCTTTTTCCCGGTAATGTTGTTAATTGTTGTCATTTCTGTCATGTTTATATAGAGACATACTTTGTCATAATTTAACTAACATTGTTGAGGTTCAAATGTTTTTAAAATCAGGTAAAAAATAGGTCTTGTCAAATAGGTCAGCCTTGAAACAAGATTTAGATGAACATCATTTCAGAATGTCTCAAGCTAAGTAAGGCTAAAATTGTTCCATGAATGTATATTTGGCGGTACATTATTAACATATGTTTATTTGAACGTCAATCTTGAAAATTACATTATAAAAGTAGTGTCAGGATCACTTCTCATGAATTTGTCATAAATAATTTTAGCATTCGAAAATGAAACAAGAACAAATTATAATGAACGTCCGGTTATTTCAAGGAAAGTGGTGGGTATCAGGAAATTATCATCAGGAAACCAAATCACCGTGACAGCAATAGCTTACTCTTAATTCCTGGTAATGTTGCTACTTCTTTTGAAATGCTATTGCCGATATTTTTGGTACATTTTTATAAGTCTCAATATTCGAAATCTTCATTGACTTTAAAATCTTTAAAAGCTAGGTTGGAAAACACGTCTTATTAAACTGATCAGTATTGAAACAAATCTCTGATGAAGAAAACATCTAGAGTATAGACAAACAATAAAAACATTTAATAAGTGATGATTAAGCATCTATAAATTTGATATACCAGTAGACAGGGAGATGAAAATTCTTTTCCAAGTAACGTTTAATAACGCTCTTTGACAAAAGAATTTCATAGGGAAGATTGAAGCAAAAGAAGTTGTTTTGCCATCCAAGGTCACAGGATGTCACAAGCCAAAAGCGATATCTAAAAATATTTCATTCATGCTATGCCTGAATGTTCATGACAGCCATCCTCCCCTGAATTAATAATACATCACAGCATGCTATTGTACATATATTTATAGACTTTAACATACTATATTGACATGATGGGACTCTTTCAATCTTTTTTAAAAAGAATAAGCTGATATGATCATACGAGATACATTGAGCTATACATGTCCTCCATCATTTTAAATTTATATTTGCTGCATGTCAATTAATGATTGAAATATATACAAAGGTAACTTTCGAAATCTTACGTGCTAAGTTTAAAGTTTGTTCAATCAATATAACAATCCAAAATCAATTAGATTATCTTATTAAATTTATGAGCTTGTTGATTCAAACCACCTTACAATAAACAATAATTTATGGTTATATTATGCAAAAAATACGAAATCTCGAATTTTTAAGTTATTTTATTTGATTATACACGTCTGAATACGCCTGACTGAGATGATATACTATAATACAATAGTCTAAAACAAGATATGAGCAATAAACTAACGATTTCAATACATTACCAAATCAAATAATATAATTATGTATAATATAATTATATACTTAGAAGGAAAGCGCAGATAAATGATACGCCAACAATTTCACAAAAATGAATGAAATGTATTAATACCTGAAATATTCTGTGAATCTAAAGCTTTTGATTTCAAACAGTTTTATGATTTAAATGGTGTTAGCTAAGGTTTTAAAGTGAAAGCTAGGATACTTGCTGAAGGAAATAAGATGTATAGATAACCAAAAAATAATAGCAGACTGAAGAGAGGCTGCATCTCATATAATTAAACAAATGTTACGCAACATATGTTGGCAAGATGAATGTCAGATTGTAGGAATGAACTATTAAATAGAAAAGAAAAAAAGCTTTGTAACTCAGGTGCGCTGACTCGGATAATGACAGCTATCTTTAAGAGATAAAATCAAGAAGAGTAATGGCAAAAATAGTTTTAGTAGCTGGATATAAAGAACTGTTAAAAGCATGAACTATGAGTAAAAATTGACAAAAATTCAAACAATTTCTTGAAGCGTATTATTATGTGTATTTAATACGTCAATATTGAAAAGAGAAGACATTACAATGTGCATGATTTGAAAAACGTTTCAAAAAGTCAGCTAGTTGGGAAAGAAGACGAATGCAGAAGTGTTTACGATGGCTGGCGATAGGAGGAATCTATCGGGAAAATGTTCAGAGCAAAAAAAGAACGAATTGAGTGAGTGTATGATTTAAGAGAAAGAAGTGTGTGAAGGTACTTTACATGGTAAAAATCTAAAAGATAAAGATGGATTTAAATACAAAAAAGTTTGGATGATGTGTAAGCAAATAAAAAAATCAACGACACCATGGCATTGTTTGTTTTTGTATCGATATTACAATCTCCCAAATAAATCTAAAGCCGTTGTTTTTGCGTCTATCATTGAGCCCCGTAGAACATTGAACTGTTGTTTGCACCTGCATGAAAATAGGTAATCATCATCACAAAAAGTATTGCCAGACACAGAAGGAGCCTAAACTTTGTAAAATTACAAATTTGCATGGTGTATATATTGCGCTGGCGTACTATAAAATTATATTGGAAAAGTGCGGTTTTGGATTATTAGTCGCTCGTACGTCAAATATTATGGAAGATCATGGAAGATTGTGACAAAACATGATAGAAACAAGGTGAGAGATCATTATTTCATTGCTAACAAGTACGTAAAGGCTTTTTTACTGGTAAAAATGAATCATTTCATAGTAGGGCATTGAGTTATAAATACGGTTATGTGTACGAAAGTATGAAGTAGAATCTCTTGCACTTTTGTCCATTCTAAATTATAATTTCGAATTGTTCAAGGTGTAGTTATGAAGATATAACTACGGAAATGACGGAGAAACCTACTTGTATGAACGCCGCAACATTTCATGTTGCAACATGGTACTGCCAAACTTACTATGTAAAGTAATTAACCAATCAATTCAATAATCATTCATGACGATTTTTTATGAATGATAACTAATAAAAGTCTGATAGAACATTAGATTTTAGCAACATTAAATTCTAAATGTCATTCAATTATGAAAACCTTTTCTAATTAATAGTGCCCTTAAAGAATTGGGTATAAGGCAAGTTGTAGATGTTTCACCTTTTTATCTGGAAACTGTGCCATTGACTTAGACATCATACTGGCCGAGTATTCTAAAAATGCAGCAAAAAATAAAGTGAACCAAAAAAAAGCGGTCCAAGTCACTCCATCTTGACAATCGCATGCCTTAGCAATTGGTCCTTACTTACTACCAGAAGCTAAGCAGTTAGAGCTAATATCATAATAGACAATGCCAATGCATGTGTCAGGTTTTTATTTTATGAAGTGTTTGAAACTCCGCAATAGTCTTAAATGCACTAATGCTCTTTCATAGGACTGAACTGGACGATAACAGGCTGTTCTGAAACTTTAAGGCATTTGAACATAGCAAATCAGACATTCCCTATTTTCTACTTGTCTGCAGGACATTATAAAGCTTAAAGATGTATTTAATGAGAAATTGTCAGTCCACACAAAGAGCGCAGGTGTCGGTGCACTCTAAATTTCGAAGTGTACTGTGAACACGAAAAATGGTGTAAATTTCTGCCTCTGTAGGAACACCAAAGAGGTGTAAATTGACATTGTAAAAATACACCCATCGGGTGTATTTGCTCTTGCCTCATTTTTTACATCAAGAGAGTGTAAATATACACCTCAAAGGTAAATATACAAATGGGATGTAATAATACACTCTAATGGTGTAATATCTCTAGTGTATGTTTACACTACGAATGTGTAAGCATAGTTAGAGTAGTGTAAACATATACATTAGACAGTGCATTCTTAAATTGAATTGACAACGCTCTGAAAAACAAAACAAAGAGCAAAATAGCATATAAATGTATCATGAAAGTAAATTTCAGCATAATAAATACTACAAAGTTATTAAATGTAACCCCCACTTACATAACTATTTAAAACCTTAACAAAACTTTAAATAAAACTACATTATATCATTAAATCCTGTACTATAACCATATATTTTATTGTTCACATTCTGGTTCATAGTTGCGATAACTCTGACATTAACACCAACACCTTTGTCGGCACCTTTTGGGTGTCAAACACTTTCATGATATTTCTCTGCAGGAAATGAAATGTGTTGACACATTCTTTAGGGTATTGAATATTACATACGTAATACAATATAAGCATTGACTCCAGTGCATCCAGAATTCCTGCAGACCTTGCTACAATGTGGTTTTCGGCAACTACAGTTATATCATCCGGATGGGGATCATCCACTGAGCCACTGATAACCAAAAATGGGGCCATTCCAGGTCTTGCTGCCATGGCAACTTCTTCTGTTTCACCAAACTGAAAATAGACAAAAAATTTAATCAAGCAGTTAGGCACTGCATTATTTGAGTTTCAATACAAATATCCATATTCTGCAATCAATACTAACCTGGTAAAAGTAAGACTCAGGACTTTTATTAGTTTTTGTTTACCTTTCCAGTAAATGAGGCAACAAACACATTGCAACAAAAGTTTTGTTCTCTATGCAAAGTAATAAAACATGCATTAAAAATAAACAGATATTAAATTGATCAGTTGCACTTTACGAAAAACAAAGGCATGACAAATTTTTTTTCAAGGGAAAACAGCATGACCAGATGGGCACAAAAGATGATTTATTTAAATATTTCAAGTCAAAATGACTAAATAATAACTCAGTACATATATAGCATGTTCTATACATACATAGTGAGACATGTTTACCTGCAGATAAAATATTTTCATTCTCTTCATCATCATTACAACTAGAGTCATTTGTAGGTTTACAAAGAAGCAGCAGCTTATTAGCTTCTTCTGAAACAAATTTCCTTTGCTCTGCTACTCTGATAATGTTGGGTGATACTTCTAGCAAATTGCCTTGAATACAATCAGCAGCCGAGCTATCTGCCATCAAACGACTGTACTCAGATTTTAGCTATAAAAATCAAAGGAGGATTACACAACAACATGTACAAAACATGCATTTGTATTGAATAATACATACATGGGCTTTTTTAAACAGGAAAGGATATTGTTCCATAATATCCTTCAGCAAATGTTTTTCCTCATTTATCATACGCCTCCTAAAGGAATATGTCAATTCCATCTTTTTGTTTACCAAAGTGAGGTTGGGTTGTTTTCTTTTCAATTCCTTCTTCATCCACGAAACATGTGCTTGGGAACAGACATTGTCCTCGCCATCTATTGGTGGAGGTGCCCAGTTCACAATTCCTCGTCGAACAGCTGCTCTGAATATAGTTGCAGCTGGACTGCCATCAACATTTTTTCTTTTTCTAGATAGGACAACAGGGTCTGCTCTTTCACTTCTTAATTCATTATTAACTTTCTCACCAAGGTACCGATACCAAATTTCCTAAAAAGGTAATCACATATGAGTAATTCACTAAAATTGCCTGTATGAAACCTGTCATAAAATTCTTCAAGCCATCAGTATGCAAGTTTATGGACAAACAATACAGATTTCAGCGTTTTTTGTTATGTCTTTTTCTTTATTATAACTATACAAACATGATGAATAATAAGAAAAGACTATATACAATTATAAATAAAAGACTTACATAGCCACCACTTGCATCAGAAAGAAAAGGGTATTTTGCAATTATTGCACGACAAACATCTCGCCTTTGGTCTGGAGTGGGAGAACTATACAACAAAAGCCATTCTCGATGACACAAATATGCCATAATACACCACAGCAGGATAAAATCAAGAGAAAGTTGCTGAAAATATAAATGATGGAATGAACTTACACAGTAAATAGGCAAATTTTGTCGTAAATTGTTTGTATGAACTTGCATCTAACTTGCTTTGGCATTCTCAATTTCTTTGCAAGTGCTTCTTCAACCAAAGGCGGGAAATAGTCAGGAAGAACAAACGGCGATGTCCATTGTTTTCTGCCTTTAGCTACTGAGTTGTCACTGCTATGAAACACACACACAGGCATCCTCATGATAGATATATTTACAATTCAGTGTCTTTTAATACAATTCATTACCTTGCACTTGATAGTGATTCACACACACCAGATTGCCCACCAGGATTTGATGCATTTCCTTGAGAATTGGAGTCTTGCCACTTCGCCAGCATATCACATGTAGATAAGTCACTAGCAGACTCAGATGTAGAAGTCGAGCATCTAGTGTTCATTTGTTTGATGGCTTTCAATAACTTCATCCTGGGGCCAATCCTGACAACCAATGATTTTAAGGCATCTTCCGTCAAGCAGGACATTGCATCGCCATCAATGCCCTCGTCTAAGTATAATTTTGATATCAAAATATAGAATTTGTTTTCAAGTAGCAACGATCGATCGAATATTAAAAGTCACGGATTTAGAACTCGCACGATGAGGAATAAAATATAGCGGTAAAATAGCACATGGTACCTTCGGTTGACATCGCAATAGTACAGCGCAACACAAAAGTTTCCCAAACTGAACCGAATTCGGAATCTTATTGCAGTAGTAAAATAATCAAAATACTAAATACAAATGATGCAATTGCAAAGTCAATACCTACCACAAAACGTTTGGCTGATGTCTTGAAAACCATTTAAATCCAGCCAATTCACAACTTCTTCAACGGAAAATGTTTCTTTAAGTGTAGACCCCATTTTCAACAGATTTAGGACGAACGAAATACTTTTTCAAGTTAAATCAGAACAAACGGTCAAATTGTGAATGGCTATACACACTGTAGGCCGTTGGCTCTGGCACGAAAATGTTTCGTTTCGTCGCCCCCATCGCGGTGCTAAAATATTTCAACGGAAAGTAGTAGAGTCGAATGCGCTGATTTCAAATATCTTTGTTCCCACACGCCAAAACGCGCTGTTTTTTCACAATGTATAACCAAAGTTGGATATTTTGATCGACTAAGCGCCATCTTAAATTCCGCGGTGTGTTTGATCTTTTGACATTATTACTTGAAGTACGCGCAATGCTGAAGTATTTATAAGGATAATTATTAAATTAAATCGTTATTAACTCTGACTGTTTTCTGAAAACAATTCTGCAAGTCCCAAAGAGCAAATCAAGAGAATGGATGAATGTTTCATTCATTTTAATGGTAAGTCAGGCGAATTGTGTCAATTAACGGCACATACAATCGATAAAATAAGTGAATATTCTGAAAAGTGGATTCATTTGGATGGGGAACCTAATAAAATTGCGTCAAACGTTTCCAAACGAGTCAAACGTTGGTCGCTCGGTCCAGACAGAGAGACAGTGCGAGAAGAAATTGCAAATGTGCGTTTTCATAAGGAATGCTATATTCGTTTCTGTGATAAAACAAAAGTCGCAAGAGCCGAAAGAAGAATAAAGAAAAAAACAAATACAATATGAATATATATGGTGCTGATCAGAGACTACCAGCACAATGGATCAAGTTTCTCAAACATGGTGGAAACAAAGAAGCACTTATTCGCTTTTTATTTGAGCAGTGGTGTACATACAAATCGACGATGTTTAATGGTATTGTGGTTTACGTTTGCCATGACGACAAGTGCCATCGCCTTAAACCAGGAATTGATAGTGGACCCATTATCGTTCAAGAAATAGCGACATTATCTTGTGACCATGAAGAGGCTGACACCAGAATGCTACTTCATGCAAATCACGCGTCTCAGTCATGTGACAGTGTCCTAATAAAGAGCCCAGATACAGACGTCTTCGTTCTTATGCTATTCTTTTGCCACATCATCCAATGCGATTTGTTTCTAGAAACTGGCGTGAATGAGAAGACACGTATCATCAATATTGGTTTTGTGCAGCAAAAGATTGGCGAAAAAGAGCAAAGCGTTAATTGGATTCCATGCATATACAGGTAAGTTTTACTTGATAACCATCTTTTACATAATTGGGATTCAGTTTAATTAAAACGTTTCACCGAAAGTGGGTATGAAGTAAAATGCACATAGTTTTCGTAAACACAACAACTTTTGCAAGTTTAAATATCAATTATTCTTTTTGCCTTTAAGGATGTGATTCTACTAGCTCATTTTATGGTCGAAGTAAGATATCTTCCTTAAAACGGTTTTCAATAACGAAGATGTCTGACCACATTTGTGCAACTTGGTAATGAATTTGAAGTCGATGAAGCTGTTCAAGAAAACCTGGAGTCACTGACATGCATGTTATATGGGGTCAAGGATTCCACTTCTGTCAACAAGGTAAGATATGACATGTTCAGGATGGGTAAATTCTCAGACGCAGCTTTGCCTCCAAACAAGGATTGTCTCTTACAACATATTAAGCGTGCAAACTACCAGACCGCAATATGGAAAAGGGCAACAACCCAAGAGATTGGTGCACCTTCACCAGTTTACCATGGATGGAAGATTGATGAAGAAGGTAATATTGATGTGGTATGGATGACGGGCAAATGTGCTCCAGATGAACTTCTTAAAGATTGCAACTGTAAATGTAGAACTGGTTGTTCAAACTTAAGGTGCTCCTGTATGAAAGCTAACTACAAGTGCACTGAAATGTGCCAATGTGTTGATTGCACAAATTGTCCAAACGAATCCAGGGAAGAGGACTCAGATTATAATCTGGATACTGATCTGGAGGAAAACTAAATCTAAGTAATGTAAAAAAACTGATTTATTTAAGAGAAATTGTCGCAACAACCTCATACTTATTTTGTGCAATTCCTATTTTAGCTAGCTCTTGAGCTTTAGATCATCTTTAGATACCAAATAGTATTACATTAAAACATAAACAACATTTGATACGTTATGCTACTGTTGAAATTTGATTCTGTTTCTCGTCAAGTTTACTCACTTTTCGCGATATTTTCCAATTGTCTCAAGCGCTCACGATCACAATCAACCAGTTTTACATTTGAAATGAATAAAATCGTATCGTTGGTAGAGGTTATTAGATAGGTTCGTGGCATATACTTATACATTTAAGTTGTTTATATGTCCACGGTTTTCGAGTACACCCCCTTACTTCAAGTAAGATTGTCAAAAGATCAAACATACCGCGGAATTCAAAATGGCGCTATGCCGATGAAAATAACAAACTTTGGCCATGCATTATGAAAAAACAGCGCGTTTTGGCGTGTGGGAACAAAGATATTTGAAATCAGCGCATTCAACTCTACTGATAACCGATGACATATTTTAGCACCGCGATGGGGGCTACGGAATTTGATTTCTAGCCACATTTTCGTGCCAGAGCCAACGGCCTACTGCACACGACACGTTTATGGTAAAGTGCCGGCGGTTATGATGATACTGGGATCAAAAATGGAATAATTATGATTTACATTCTACTCAGAGGTCGGACTTATTTCTGAGCCATGCAGTTATTTTTGTGACAACAGCTATGTGCAAGGAATATATTTACATAAATCGATTTTTATAAAGAAACAGAATTCAAACTGATTTCTGTGCCGCCTATGGCTAATCACGGTAAATGCTGATCCATTTAGTGATTAATAATCAAAGCAATTTTCGCAGTCGTTGCTTCAGATATGTTCAATGGCCAGAAGAAAAGAGCAAGAATTTAAATGTATAAACATACATTGCTCGCATCTATCATTTGCCTCTTTCAAGAGATATATGAGTCATGTTCGAGATTATCATGTTCATGAACCCAATTTCAAGATTAAATGTCCGTTTGACTCGTGTTGTCGGTCCTATTCACTGATATCGTCTTTAACATCTCATATGCGTCGAAAACATAAAGGTGACCTTGATTATGCAGTTGATTGTGAAGTCAATGATATGAACGGCGATATTACGCAAGACAATGACCATCTAGTGGCAGACTCGACACTGGACTCAATTGAGATGGGTTGCAACAACAAACATAATACGTATATTTCAGTCAAGGAAATGGCATTGTTTGCTTTGAAGACACAGGAATTCAATCAACTTGGTGACACTGCAACGGATGCAGTGCTTGAAAATACTTATCAGTTAATGGAGCAAAACGAGGACTATTTTAAAAAGCAAGTTAAATTATGCATCGAGCATTCCAGTGTTGACATTAAAGATATAGAAGGTTTCGAAGAATTACTTGAGTCACCACCCTCACTTTCTGCATCAAAAAAAGTATTGCAGACATCAAAGGATAGAAACAAGTATTTAAGGGAAACATTAAATATGGTGGTACGTATTTAAAGTATTCTAATACTTCTTATAAGAACATGATAGTATAATGTATTAATTACTACCTAAATGTATTATCTACTTATTTTGTAGGACCCAATTGAAATAGTGCTTGGAGAAGAGGTGGTAACTTCTGAAGTGAATGGTCAGTTCCAAGTGAAAAAACACTCCTTTCAGTATATTCCAATAATAAAGGTCTTGGAGCAATTGCTGGTCGCCATCCACTGTTTTCAGTCAACCATAAGGCTCTTCAGATTCTTCTTTACTATGATGACTTTGAAGTAGCAAATCCTTTAGGAGCAAAGGCAACTGTGCACAAGCTAGGTATAGCAATAAAAGGCTATGTTATTCCATGCCCATCAATGCTAAAGTACTTCTGATTTTTTTCTATAGGTGGATTTTATTGGATTTTAGGAAATATACATCCAAAGTACAGATCATCCCTTAAAATGTTGAATCTTGCCATATTGTGCCCAGTGAAGTGGATAAAAAAGTATAGTATGGCAAAAGTTTTGAAGCCTTTGATGGCTGATGTGGCATTGCTAGAATCAGTAAGTGTTGAAATTTCATTTTGTTGCAGCTTTTTGATAATTTATGTATCAACAAACAGAAAAGAACAATCTGACCTTTCAACGTTCCCTTTACAGGAAAATGGGGTTCAACTAAATATAGGGCAGTCCATTAGATCTTTTGAAGGTACCTTGAGCTTGGTTTTAGCAGATAACCTTGGCAGCAATGGTATCGGAGGCTTTATGGAGAGCTTTTCAGCAAAAAGGCCATGTCGATTTTGTATGGGTATATTGGATGAATTTCAAACAAAGGTAGTTCTATTAAATTTCAGCATATTACTGCCAAGGCATAACCAGCTAGAGGAAATGTTGGATCTTGCTATACTTTTTTTTGCATTTTTAGCCACAGCAAAATTATAAATTGACTAATGTCATGTTTTGAAAGTACTGTGAAAATGAACTGCTTAAGTCAGGTTTTGGCATTATAACTGAGTAAGGCTATCATCTTTTTATGACGCCTGAAACTTCAAAAAAATCTGTTGTCTTGTTTAGTTCACAGAAGAAGAGTTTACCATGCGTTCCAGGGAGATGTATGACCGGCATGCTGCCTTTTCAAGAATTGATCCAAATTCTGCTTCTATTTATGGTGTCAAGACACAGTCCTTATTAAATTGTTCGAAATATTATCATGTGGTTGATGGTCTTCCTTCAGATATCATGCATGACATCCTTGAGGGAGTTTGGCCTTTGCATTTGAAAGTAATGCTAAGAAAGTTTATATTCAAAGAGAAAATGTTCACTCTTGATGAACTTAATCGGCGAATTAAAGGCTTTCCATATGGACCTAATGACTTTAGGAACAAACCAAGTTTGCTCAAGAATTTGACCTTGTCAGACTACAATATGTGTCAGTCAGGTACTGCTGTGTGACTTTTTCAATGATATTACTCAATAATTAATCAATGATCACCATGGGTTTTAATATTTACACAGCTTCCCAAATGTGGTGCCTCTCCAGGCTGCTGCCTCTGATTATTTATGACTTTGTGCCTGAACATAACCCTGACTGGGAACTGTTCGGTGATTTGATGAAGCTTGTTGACATCGTCATTGCACCAGTCATTCGAAAGGAGACAACCTATTATCTGGCAGTCCTTATAAAAGACTATCTGAAAGAATTCTGACATCTTTATCCAGATACTAAATTGATTCCAAAGCAGCATTTTATGGTTCACTATCCTGCTCAAATAAGAAGGTAATATAATTATGTTGTTCTGAGGCCCTATTGCACAAATTGGTATTTCAATAGTGACTTATAGTGTCTTCCACCCTTTACTGACCTTTCATAAAATTTTACTGAAAAGTTAGGCAGTTTCCATAAAGAAAATACATTGCTATGTTGACATTAATGTTGTTTTTTTTGTGTTGCTGTTCAGAACATGCTAGTATAAATGGTGCTTTTTACTTATTATGTTTGTGTGATTAATGCTAGAATTTCTATAAATTCATACACGCATTTTATCATAGGAATGGGCCACTTGTTCGTCAGTGGTGCATGAGATTTGAGGCCAAACATCGCTATTTTACACAACTGGCACATGGAATGAAGAACTTCAATAACCTGTCCAAGACTTTGGCAATAAGGCATCAACGTCTTCAGTGCTATTGGTTGTGTGAAGAAGATGCCTATTTGAAACCAGTCGAAGAAACTGGATTAGGTGATTATTTGTTTGTTTTCTTAAATATTAAGATGGTGGATAAGTTTTTGCAATACAATACTGTGTCTTCATACCAACAGGTTCAACTATCGAACTAAAAGAAATTTCACCTGAGAAATATCTTAGTCTTTCTCGTATCTGTGATTTTTCACTCCAGAGACAAAGGTGTACATGTAAGTATTTAAAATTTTGAAACTCTTTTTTATTTTTATTATAATATTGACTGTGTACAAAAGTAATTGTCCTCATCTTGGCCTTTTCATCATCGAATAGCACAAACCTCCAGGATGATAGTGTCGTCAGAATGACATTCTTGTTCATCATCCATCTTTACTTTTTTATCTTTTCTCTTCTTGCTTTTTCTCTTTGCCTTTCTTTTCCTTTTCTTATTTTTTTTATTTTTCTCAATCTCCATGGTTTGTTGCATGGAAACTGTCATACCTAATACAAATAAGATTTGAAATTAACAATTATTTTTCCCGCAATAAAACTTGTTCTATGCAAAATTAAAGTTGACCTACAATTTATAGACAATGTAGAAAACAAAAGAGCAGCAATGTTGTGTTTTTGTTCTGAAGGCGAAAACATTCTATTGCTGTGTCAGTGTGCTACTTCTAACCTTTTTCATCACTCTCTTGTCCTAAGTCTTGAGGATTGTCTTGTCTCACACAATCATCTTTAGTTTCCTGGACATCAAAAACATTTAATTGACCTCCTTTAATCAAGAATATTGAAAAGTTGCATAGTGTACACTGCATACATTCTCACCTCATTTATATAGGTTTGCTCCGCCATCTTAAACACGTTGTTTGTTGTACCTTGTACCCAGTTCACTGCCTTGGGCCACACTTGAAAATCGATAATTGGGGGGGAGGGACTATATTATGCAAGATATGCCGTACTAAGTTCCTATGAAATCAATTGTTTTGCCCGCAAATGATTTACCGACTGTCGTGACTCAAAGTTTACCACTGTCTACTTTCAGGGCTAATTGGATATCAATTCATGGAGTCAAGTACCACAAACGAGCTGCACTTGTGTATAAGCAATCAATACTGCCATGTATCTTGATGATCGAAGATATAGTCATTGCTAATGGGGATGCATTTTTTATTTGTAAACAAATGCATACATTGAAATATGTTAAAAACCTACACTCATACGAAATAGCAATACTCAACAATATTGAGACGGTTAAATATGATGATCTAATAGACTATCATCCGTTGGATGTATATACAATAAATAGACATGGATTCTCGAGAAAATATGTAAGAATGAGATATGACCTCTCAGATTGTGAAAATTAATAAACCATGTAACATACAAGTATATTATTTTCCATAAATGAAATTTAGTGCTTTTAATTTTTTATATTTTTGTACAAGTGTTTCCATAAAGCGAAAGCCGACTTTCCATAGAAGCATGACACTATTGTTGTGTTATAACACACATTAATAGTGATTATTGATCAAAGTCTGGTGTAAAGTTACACCAGATATAGGTAATATACGATCTACACCAAATCAGTGTAAACCTAACACTTTTGTTGGAACAAAATACACCTCAAAAGGTAACATAACACTCGCAGAGGTGTAATTTGTCCGTTTACACAAAAGTTGTGTAAATTTACATCTATACGGTGTTTGCTGTACACTTGGAAATTTAGAGTGTGGAATTTTTTAAACACCAGTAGGCCTTAGCATCAGAAAATGCTAAAAAACTGTTTGTAAGAATGAGCATTTATTACGCCATTGTTTTGCGAATCGCTATTGTGCAATAGCTTATTAAGCCGTACTCTATGACACAAAAAGTCGCTTAGAAAACGATTTTCGTTACCCCATCGGACAGTACATTTTAATACGATAGATAAGTAGGATATTTCATAGAAAATATAAATTCAGTTGTTTCCACCTTTAAAGACCAGCAGTTTTTCAATTATTTAACCATTGAAAATTTTATAATTTGATGTCTTTCCCAATCAATCGACGACATTATGATCACGTAATTTTGCGATACTTGATGTAGGACACCAGATAAAATGCGTTAAATTTCCAGTATGCGCAAAGCAAACTGCGCGACACGCTTACATTAAAGGTTACCAACGCGAGTTGCCTTTCTATGTATTCTCTATTCTATGTACCTGTCATCAAAAGTATAAAACTTAATAATACTGTCTTTCAAATTTCTTTCGCAAAAGAAAATAGATAAACATTATTTCATCCATTTTTACATCTTACATTTTTATCCCATGCAACAAAAAAATTCACAAAAGTCCATCCCCAAGTTACTCCATCAAACACAGCAACACCTGGATAATTATGTTTCATTTTCTGTGTTGTTTTGACACTTCTATCCCACCATAACTCCACTTTACCATTTTTTTATATTCTCACTTTATTTGGAACATCTCTTTACCAAACATTAGAACACTCCATTCGATATTTTCTACTCAATTATCCCTTTAAGCCCACTACATCATGCCTTCTCTTATATTTTCTTTTCGCCAAATTAGTACAACCACTAGCCAAATGTCCAACAGACTCCACCCTCTACCGCACACATAGGCGTAGGAAGATTGATAATTGTGGGCGATCAATACTTATATATTAAATGAGGTAACGGGGGCATTTTTTATGTTTAAAGACTTCTTGGATCAAATTATCAGAAATTACACAAAACTTTTTCTTCTCTGCAATATCCTCCAAGTATGAGAAACTAATATTTGAAAATCTTGACTACGTTATTATTCGAATCTGTTGACTAGGGTTTGCTATTTTTAAACCTCTTAAACAAATTGAAGTCATTTGTTGAATTCAAATAATCTCAAACCTATTACGCAGAAATAGCGTCATGTGATTTCAATGGTTGGAAGTACGTAACAAACGTTAGAACGCGTAGTAAGGGACCTTTCTGTAGAGTCAAACTAGAGCCACTAAAGTAAAAGCTAAAAGTCGATTGAAGTCAAGAATGAAGCTTAGCCAACCTGAAGAAAATTTTAAAATGCCCAAGTTCGTGAAGATCTATATTTTCAGTACTGAAGTTTTTTAATAAATTTATTATATCAATTCATTTTTAAGTTAAATTGTATTTTGCGTAAATGTTTTTGTATCTTAAGCACAAAATTTTGAAATTTTTTTCTGCAATGATCCCGTGCAGACGGCGTACAAAAAAAACAAGCAAATGGTATATAGTGAGATAATTAATATTTGTTGTCAAAAGTACTTTTCTTATTGAATGCATCAGTAATAAACATCAATTGGTACGAGGGTAAAGTATTCAAAACAATATAACAAAAAAAATTAGAAGGAAGGATGCCTTAGCCTTGTTGTGACGAAAAATCATGTTTCGGAACAAAAATCATACTTCGTAATTGATTTTTAATGAATTAATGAAATATTTACAATTGCATACTAAACAATATAAATTGTCCAATCTAACGACGTTTTTTGCCTTAACAACACACCTACATTTTAGAGAATAAGAAAGCATTTTACTCACTTGTGCTAAATTTCCTTTCGTACTTTCGTTTAAGAGATTTTAGAATCTTCCTTCTTTATTTTGCCTTACCAAAAATCTTTTTACTCCCACTTGTTAACGAAAGGATAAAGATTGAAGTAAAAGAAGCGTGAGTTCGTTATTTAAAAAGCAATGCGTGTGCAGGATAAAATCTGTTAACCAATAAGATTGTGACAGTATAATTTGCTTTTTAGGTTTGTCATAAAATTATTTAAAGTTCTGAAAATGAAACTAAAACATTATAACTTTTGTCCATTTTTTACAATAATGAAGCACGCGTAGGACGAATTTAATTCAAATCCTAAAAAACAAGCCACTGTGTCATTCATAAACGACTTTCTTTTTCTCGGTAATGTTGTTAGTTGTTGTTATTGTCGACTTTCATATATTCAAATATTCATATATTGCAGACATGCTATTTGTTATTAAATTTTGTTTGTTTTTGTTGCATTTAAATGCTTTTGAAATCCGGTAAAAATAAAAACGGATCTCCTTGAATATGGCCATGACACAAGATCTTTAGAAACATCATTTAGGAATATCGTAGGCAAAGCTAACAATACTATTATTTCATAAATGTACATTTGGCGGGTACATCATAATAATGCATTAATTTGCACATCAATCTTAAAAATCACATCCTTAATTTGTTTGCGGAAAAACTATGAAAATATCACTTAACTCATATTTTCTAAAATTTTCCAACATTTTAACTTTCTTTATAAATACATTGAATTTCTGGAACGTTCCAAAATTGATACAGCTGCATAAAGCAAGCATCTTTCTTTTCTTAACTACATTGTGATCAAGCGATTAAACTTTTTTAAAATAGACTCGCGTTTGGTAGTGATTACAAAAATCATGCACGGTTATAAAAAGTTTATCAACTGATAAGAGTCTTGTCTGGATAACTTTTCATGAATTTGTCATACAACAATTTTAACATACAAAAATAAAACTGGCTACTCATAAGTAAATTCCTGTGATTGCAAGAAAGATGCGTGCTGGTTTAGCACCAAAATAATTGAAACACCTGAAAACAAAACAACTGTGACATAATAATATTTTAATCTTCCTAGTAATGTCGTTATTTGTTTTGAAATTTTATTGGCAAAATTTTTTTGCGATCTTATGTAAGAAACATTTCTTATTGAAAGGATCAGCATTAAAACAAATTTTTGATCAAATTTAAGGCCATCATCTCTTATAAAATTTATAACTTTTCGAGTTTAGTTGAACAAAGCAAACATTTTCAGCATTCCTAATATCTTATGAGGAAGATAAAAGCACAAGAAGTTCATTTTTATCCAGAATTACAGGATGTCACGTGCTTAAGGCGATACCAGAAAGTTTTCATTTATGTAATGCCTGAATGTTCGAGAAAACATTCCCACTCTGACACTCAGTGTGACACTCATTCCCACTCAGTGTCTTAAATCATTGCATTTGATTAAACACGTCTAAATACGACTGAGTTAATAGCTATAATAACAATATGAGAAATAAAATTAACATAGGATTTACGGGCAAAATCACAACTTTATTTAATAACTAATTCAAACAACAAAATGATACTTAAAAGTAGAGCGAATTTGCCAATTATTTCTCCTTTTGGTTGTTGCATGC